TTCCCATTAAATTAGTAATTTTACTTATTTCGATTGCAGTCGTCGAGTCATTTGTCTTAATTAACAATTTTCCTTGACGTGTGTGCATACACGAAATGATTTTTCCGGGACAGCTTACTGTGTTGTTTAGGCTTTCTTTTAACAGGATCGGTTTTTTTGGAAATGAATTTTGGTCATTAGGAGAGAAGAGGATAGCGTATGTTGATAATCCACCAGCCGTTGCATATTCGAGTTTCTCGGCAACTGAGTGATCAAATTCCAGTATTGTTGAAGTTGATATTTTAGCAGGTCTTTCCAAATGCGAGTCGAAGTCCATTTCATCTTCTCTCATATTGAGATATGGAAGATGAATCAATCCTCAAGCTGTACTACGGTAGTGAACTGCGGCAAGCCAAGCCAAGCCGGTGGGCGGTGCCCGGGTTGATAATTCAGGTAGTTTTGCAATATTATTTGAAAGGCGATATTGCAATGCGAATATAGTAATTAGTTAACTACTATATAAGTACAATAGAATAAGAATATTTAACTCACCGCCTACTTGTCAATAATTCAAAGTCGAATCGTAAACAAAATTTCTCACCTACTCGTGGGAAGGAAGCCCCAACCGCAAATGCTAAGAACAAATGATGGTCGCGACTCATAATAAATAAGTCTTGCTTGTAGCTCTCTAAGAGTAGAAAATGCACTAAGAAAGCTGATTAGTCTTCCATGCCATGTGATTCAAACGGCTGTTGCTTGGCTGCCCGCCTTTTTATTCTAAGTTGGAGAGAAGAAGACATATTAGACTAACTAAATTTATTCAATTAATATTATTATTGAAACATAACTTGTGTTTCTTTTTTTCTAAGTATATATATAAAGAGCTTTACTCACAATAGTTTACTCAAATCAACAGTACAACAATACTAATTGTATTGTCATCATTTTTTCTCTATAAAAGTTTTTGTGCTATACTACTTTATTGTAGAAATTATAACAAACGAATGTTTTTATTGCCATTTCAGTGAAAATTCTTAGGATATTTCAGATTTACTTTTTAGAATGTGACTTTTGAAAATAATCTTTGATGCCTTACATAACATTACGCAAATTAATTAGCTGTCACATTCATACGAAAAAGTTCAGTGTTTTTTTTCTGTAAATATTTAAAAATTTTTTTTAGCCTTTGTATACCAGCGGGACTTTTTAATCCCACTAACACCAATTCTGTAGCATTTAAACAGAACAAAATAACCCATCTGAACAAATATCTCCCTACAGAAATCTGATTTTCCGTTTATCACTAATTATTGACACCACGCGATTATTTGAAGTTGAACTTCATCTATGGTTATGGAATTATTTAGTTGTTGATATTTCGTTCGAGGACGCCATTTTATGGTTTTTAAATTTCATTCCTCAATTTTCAGCTTTCGATCTCGTTAAAATTCGCAAGTAGTACGTCTTTCATATTTTTTATTGATTTATTAACATTTTCAAACAGTTATAAGACAAAGTAATAAATTTTCTACTTTAATTAAAATTTTATAAAATGGTTTAAGTTCCAAATTGATTTTTTTATAAAAAACGAGGAAGTAATATTGGATATTAAATATATATTTGTAGAAGTTTAAAATTGATATTATTTAGTGGGACAAAAGATATTCGCAATTTTTTGATAGTTTTTCAATAATATGGTAAATAAAATGTTAATGTCTTTAGAAGTATTTATATTAATTAGAATTCCACTCTTTTTTATCGTATGAGTGGAATATTATACTATGTGGAGTGGAATATAATTATAGAAACTTTGAATTTTAATTTATAGAAAATAAGTCTAAAAGTAGATGGGAAATTTTTTAACGCAATAATTTGAACATGTGAGTGGTTGTGCCCATTGATACCTTAAATAACTTATTATATACTAGCTGAAATAGGAGTTAATTTTGAAATGGAGAATAAGCACAAATATTAGTGTCTTCAACTTTTGAGATACACTCATAACAAAACTCTGAAATTACAAAGTCAAGATATTTTTAAACTCGATCGATATTGTATTTTAGCATCAATCTATAGTATGTGATGTTTTTGTGTCAACACTGTGCTTATCTTATCACATCACTCAAATAGTTCATTCATTGAATTTCTAGACATTCCATGCTGAAAAGGGAGTACGTTGTTAGTCAAGCACATATTTGAAAGAAGCACTTTGCTTGGAGAGGACAATGGAAGGAAATTTTGATTTTAATTAGGCGTACAAAACTTCCCACTAAAGCCTTACCGAACAATTGTGTTTCATCTGTCTAGAAAATCTTCTTCAAGAAGCCATCCATACGCACAGCAATTGTCTTCCTAGTATAGATGCATCAAGACGGAGCATTAATATGCATTAATTGTTATTAAATAATATAATGAGCAAACTAAGGGGTAGTATTTAGGTCCTTTGAAGGAGGTTGAGGAAAGGTTTAAGAGTGACTACAATAGTAGTTAGTGGAGGAATTTCATCTCTTTATCTGTCTATTCCTTTTCTTTCGTTTTTTTTTGGTACAATTTTATCTGATATACTATGGAATAGAAATACCATTGAATATCTCATTTGAAGCTTCCTTGCACTCTCTCCTTGTCTTTGCATTTTACAACTTATCGGCTAAACAGTTTATTATTATATAACAAATATATATATTACAGTTTATAATATTATAAACGGAATTACGGAAACATTTTAATTAATATTTAATTAAAAAAATAAATTTAAACGATCTTTTCAAACTCTGTTTCTTATTTTCCAGTTAAGGCCATATTATCTTTTAGTATTAATAGAGGAACTTTAAAAAATAAAAAAATATGACATAGTTTTAATATCATTTTTATTTATCCTATGTTTCGCTTATTTTTTTCCATGTTATTTCAAGGAATATATTAAATAAAAATAACCTATTTGAAGCTTTTTTTTCATATCATTTTAAAGAAATAAAATCTATTGAAACATACCTAACTTCCAATGTGGTGAACCGGGATAGAATCCCAGTCATGACTGGTCGATGCGAATTCCTATCTAACATTGGGAGGTTTTCGTGTTTTTCCTCTCCTTGTAACCCAAATGCTGGTTAGTTTCCTTCAAAAAGTCTTTCACGAAGGTAAATTTTCTCCCAATACTTGATCGAAAAATGCCCTTGTCATTTGGATTGGATTCAAAATAAAAAGACTACGAAGTTAAGCATTAATATTCGTAATTGGGTCGGCAGTTTCACGACATTTATAAAAAAAATTACGAAAAAGCATTCCTATCTGTAAGAATATTTTATGTGCAGAAAAATTATATTACACACTTTTAATATGAATTTTTAAAATTTCTCGCTATTAAATACATAAGTGATTGCATAATTACTACCCTTAATATATATTTTTAGAATCTTGCAAAAAAAAGTGCTAAAAAGTGTATACAAAGGATTAAAAAGGAATGACTGATTAATGTTCAAGCAATAAAAATAAAAATTAAAAAAAACCAATAGTTTCAAGATCTAGTGAAATACAACAAAGGAATCAGGACTGAAAACATCAAAACGAGTTTGATTGCCTGATCTAACAAAGAGAAGCTTAACTCTAAATATTAACTTAATACGATGCTTAACTCCAATACGATGAAATTTCGTGGTGTTTATAATAATCACAGTTCGCATTCTTTCTATTTCCTCTGGCAATCAAACTGGTTTTAATATTTTCAGTCTTACCTTCTTCAGCACTGATTCATTGTATTTTTCTCCCGTAAATATTAATTGTGTCCACTAATGTTCTTTTACTTCATTTTTTTCGAAATTTTATAAAAATTCAATGAAGGATTTTATTACTTAACACCTTACATATACATATGTTCATATTTTTCTTCATTTACTGAATTGAATAAAAATTTCACAATACTTTTATGTTCCTGTGCATTTACATTAGAGCCCTAAAAACAGGGCTAAGTGCTTGGTCATGGTTGGAGGATGTGTGTTCTTGTGTACTAGCTTTTTTTTTTTCTATTTACCGTGGAAAAACAAACTATCCCAGCCATTAGAGGAGTTAAAACTATTTATAGGATGGAAAAATTGCAGCACTTTACGTTTATATTTAATGTAAATGTTTTTTTAAGCCGACAAATGAGTGTACGACATATTTTTTTTAAAAAAAAAAGGAAAAGAAAACATAGTTTTCTTTTCATATACTATATTGGTCTTTATAGTTTCGACTTTATAGTATAGTGGAAGATCTTTACGTCATTATCTTGATTTAATTAAACTCACTATTTCTAAAGCTAAATATTTTGATTCTAAAATATCTTTGAAAAACAAGAAGAAGAAGAAGAAAATTACAAAAAAAAAGGGAGGGGGGGAGAGATAATATATTTAAAAAATAAATTCTACTCTCAAAATTAGTAAAATGCAAGAAAAATATTACTTCTAAATAAATAAAATTTATACGAAAGGAACGAATTAACAGCGAATATATTTTTCATAATACATATAATACTCATACTCATAATAATACTCATAATTCATAATAATTTTTGGTCCTCGTTAAACTGTGCTACCGTAAAGTGCTCGACTTCGCGCGCAGGTCGTCGGGCTACCGAAGCGGGGGTGCCATCCCTTCCGCAGAGGATCAAAATTGTGATGGCATGTCTTCGGATCATCCTCCGGGATGTTTCCCAGACCGTCGCCAATAGCCCATTGTGCAGCTCTAGTGCGACGTAAATTAACAACAACAACAACAACAACATAATAATTTTTCATAAGCTTATAAATGAAAAGTAAGCTATAGATTTTTAAAACGCCGTCCCCGTATCAGTTCTTCAAAAGGGCAGTGTGAGAAAAAGATTTCCAAAAGAATGTGAATTGAGTAATAAAAGTATGTCAGAGAGAGGGAGGAAGACCCCCAACAGAGAAGATTAGTTACGGTGAAACCGCAGTCGTATCCCTTATGAAAATTTAAGGTTGATTTGAGGTATTTTTGAGGTATTAAGGTTGTTTTGNCTTACTCAAAGGTAGAAAGTGACTTGTGTTTCAAAGGCAATATTACAAAAAGTAATAAAGATTAAAAAAATTAACCTACATTTTCGTGGATAGGAAAGATTGAAAAAATTATTAGTATTTTTTTTTAATTGATCACTCCGATTCTTGAACAAGAAAAATCGATTCAAAGTATGACAAGCCCGCCATAGACTTTACATGTTAAAAGCAGAATTGAGGAGTCTGCTTGGTGCAACACTTTTCTCCCGGCAACCACGATTCATGACCCTGATTTTCTGCTCTTTTGGGAATGCCGTGTATATTTTTGTTTGCCAAGGACCCTACAAACTTTTTCGCCAAAGCAATTGGCGTTGTTTAAACAAAAGCTATTGTTAGAGGCTTGGCAAACAAAAATAACTCACTCCGCCCAGTTACCAATTCCTAAATTGACCAAATATCCTCTTTATTTCGGGCCGAACTCTTACTGAAGGCTAGAAAGGAAATGGAAAGGCCTTCTCAGAGTATCCTTTGGCCAAAAGCAAAACAAAGAACGGGGTGAAACTCTATTCTTGGAAAAGCCGTATTGAGAAGCAGTAGTTAGAAATAACGCACTAAAACTCAAAAAACGGCAGAAAAATTTTATCCAGTGCAATCTTTTCCACTTTTGAGTTCCCAGTAAGCATTGTACAATAATATTTTTGCCACTTAGCGAACTAAAAAGCGACATAATTTTTTGGTGCAAATATATAAACCCACTTTAATGAGAACACATATAAACTGTAAACAAAACAATTCAAATCAAATTTTGTTGAAGGAGATATTTGTTTTTATTTCGTCCTGAAGCTAGTTAACAAGGTAATAAAAATATCAAAGCTGGTTATTTTCTTAAAATTTCTATTCTTGTTTCGAAAACTAAACGGTAGAATTGTTTGTGAATATAGTCTTCAAGTAATGTAGAACATTTCAGGATGCTAAATATACTGGATAATTAAATTTTTTACAAATGATGCGATACTATTTGGAAAGATGTCCGCATCGTGATCTGCTGCAGAATAATCGCCAAATCTTGGCAACTTCCGGTCAGTGGTCAGTAAGAAAATAAAAAAAGAACACCATAAAAGGGGACCAACTTGAATGGGATAACTCGTAGCGACCCTTGGGCAAATCTCTACATAATTTTTTTTTTAAAAATTGCAAGTTTGAAATCCTTTTGGTGACTTTGAGATTATAGTTGGTGTGACAGATCATTGTACATCAATCCTCGTCATAAATTAAAATTGATTTATATGCATGATGTTTAAAAGAAAATGTCTCCTATTGGTAACAAGTACATGAATAAATTTTGAAGAATACTACTGATATTTAGAGTTAAAAACTAACCAAAAGTACGAAGTTTTAGCTTATTTGCTTTTTGAATAATTTATTATTTGTGCTTTTCTCTGGTTCGGTGGTGTTTCAATTTTGATACATGTTTATGCCAGCTGCCATTAAGAATCTAAAGATAACACAAATACAAAAGGGGACCAACTCAAATGGCATAAATTGTTGCCACCCATAGGCTAATCTGTACACGATTTTTTTTTTCTTTAAATTTACAAATTTAAAATCCATTTAGTGCCTTTGCAATAGTAGTTTATGCAATAAATCGCAATATAGAAGTCAAATTAACATTGATTTATTAGTATGATGATTAAAAGAAGATGTTTTGTATTAGCAACAAGTATATTAATAAATTTTGTAGAATGCTATTGATATTTAGACTTCAAACTAGTTAAAGACTAGTTTAAAGTTTTAGCTTATTTGCTTGTTGACTAATTTATTATTTGTACTATTCTGTGGTTTGATAGTATTTCAATTTCGATACGCTTTAACAAGAACTGCAATGGCCAAGGTTGGAAGATTTTTGTATTGGTATCTACACCAAAGTAACCATAATTTTGCAATTTATGGATAGCAGGTTGGGGAACTAAAGAAAACATCATAGAAGGGTACTAACTCGAAAGGGTATGAGTCATAGCCACTCCTGGGCAAGCATCTACATAGTTTCTTCCTTTCCCTTTGGCGCCTTAACAATTGTAGTTGATGAGAACAGATAACGATACGAAAATATCCTCACCAAGGCTCTTGAGATTTTTTTTACTAAAAATTTTTTTTTTTTAAAGTATGTATCTTTGTCTCAGTGGAGGAGATATTTCCATATCAGTACCACTTTCTTGTTAACTACATAGTGCAAAATCCTTATACTTTTTTCCATATTTTCTTTAGTGTTAATTTTTGTGAAATCCATATTTTAAAGCCATATTTTGTTTTTTAAACATTATAAGTGTTATGACAAAATTATTACATAATTTTGTAATAACACTTACAAAAGTCAAATATATAGAAATTTCATTTGGATGATTTGAAAATGAAGCATATTTTTATACACTTTAATGTTGTCTTTTTAGTTTTTCACACAGTAAATAACAGGGGTGAGATTGTTCTGCTTTTTAGCGTATTTCCGCCTTTTTCGCTTTTGTCTCTCGAATTTCAGCTTTTTTATCAAAAACTCCAATTCTCTAAAAGTTTAAGTTTTTTTCATAAATTTTCCGCTTTTTCTGAAAATTCAGCCGTTGAAATAGAATAATTATATTTCTTTCCGATTTTCAGAGATAAGCAGAAAATTCAAGCTATGTAGCTGCCAACCCTTCCACATTTTTAACAATTTCACCTATTTTCTCCACTTTTACGTGCAGAAAATAAAATTTTCCGCATTTTTACCCGCCTGCCAGGTAGCTTATATTTTCATAATTCAGACATCGCTGAATTTTAATATCAAACAGCGATATTCTTATTTACCTCATTTGAAAGTTGTGCATTTAGATTATTATTCATGCAATTTCAATATTGTACATGGTAATTCTTATTTACGAGGTTTAAAAATCCAATATCGCTATTTGTATTTACGAGTTTTTTTTAAATCCTATGCAGCAATTCGTGTTTACATGTTTTTAAAATCCAATACAGCGATTCGTAGTCACGCGAGTTTAAAATCCAATGTCGTGTGATTCTTTTATGCGGTTGTAATAACAAACATCGATTTTCGTATTTACAAGTGATTTAAAAATTAGGCTTTGGATTGGTATTCACGGGATTAAAAAGTTATGCATCGTGATTCGAATTTACTCGATCTAAAAATTAAACATCATGATTTGTATTTTCACTTTTTTGAAATCCAACATGGAGTTTCATATTCACGTGATTTCAAAATCCAATATTGTGATTCATATTCACGCTATTTTAAAATCGAAGATCGCAATTCTTATAAGAAGTAAGTTTTTTTTTCTTGAATTAGTTACTATAAATGTGACATTTTTTCTATCGGCTATTATTGGTATAATTATAGGCATTACAACATCAGCGAAACTGGATGAGAATATTGTTACTGATATTTTTGCTGTAAATCACGCAATAGTATTTATTAAAAAAATGAAATGTTAATGTATGTTCTCAATAGTTTAGTGTGCTAAACTAGGCAGTAATAATTGACTCCTTTATGACTGAAGAAAAATATAATTTCCAGCTTAATTTTTTCAATTTGTAATTTTACTTTTTACTAAATGTTAAGTGTCGATGTAATTATTCATATATTAATAAATTAGTTCACAATTAATTTTATATCAACACATAGTTATTTATTATCTTAAATTGTCTGAATTTTATTTTGAAATAATTGCACACACGTAAGATTTACTCGCGTGAATATTCAGCTTTTTTGCCTTTTGGCCAATCTCATCCCTGAAATAATTGCCAAGTACTTTAAAAATATTTATAATTTTATTTTTCAGACTTGAAATGCATTATACATTAAAAACTAATGACATTCTTTTATCTTTATAACTATAGTTATGCTTCTAAATTAGTGTTAAAAACTTTACTTGTGAGAAGGAGTATATCTACAATAAAATATTAAGCAAAATTTAAGACAAGTTTCTCTGCAAAAGTATAAGTTTTTTTTTTTCCTTTCAATTCATAAAATCTTCGCTTAAAAATTTTTTAAATGCTACTAAAATTTTCTAAATTCTATATTTTTTTTTTTTTAGTTAATCTTTTGGATATGATTTAATGAACAGGACACAAAAATTACTTCAGATTATTTAAAAAATTGAATTTTCGAACTTTGAGTATAAAAATTACCAATAATACACTTCATTTTAATTTATATTTGTTTTGTATTTTATTTTATGTGCATGAAAAAATAAAAATAGCAAATCTACTAATGGAAGCATTTGGTTGGAGTTTTGAAAATGTCTTTAGTCCTTAAAAAATTGAGTTATAAACGTTCAGACTATAGAACTTTAAATAAACATTGCTATACTGTTTTGTTTTCTTTTACTTCCAAACTGCATATTTTAATTTGTTTTAACTTGAAATACATTAGTTTTCAATGATAACTTTATTGCTCATTGTTCATACATTAATATTATACTCCAATTAGTAACAAATTAATGATGAAGCATACTCTACACTTTAAATTTTTGTTAAAAAAGAATTTTATGGAGTTTTGGATTTAAAATATTCTAGTCATAATGCTTATTTTGATTATATCTGATGCTTTGAAGAGAATGTTCTCAAACTATAGCTTACCTTTGTATTTTGATGTACCATTTAGACATACTGAGCTATGACGATGTCTGTGTGTTCCTTGTCTATTATGTCTATAACGGGACTGAATATCACTAAGAAAAAGGAAAACAAACCAGAATCTTGGATTGATAAACAACTGAAAGAACTCACCAATGGATCAGTTGCAAAGGAAATGGCAATAGGAGGTCTTTCTGGATGGTATCTGATTCTAAATATCATTTGAATAACTCATTTGTCTATTATATTTATAGTCACAGTACATGAGTAATCAAGTTTGTTTTGAATCTTGGATAATATATTTGATTGTATGTTTTGTATAATAGTTACAATAGTAATAAAAATCTGTGCATCAGAACATGATTTTAAAAAAATCAATTACCACAATTAGAAAATTATGCATTGTGATTCAAATTCAAGTGATTTAAAAATCAAATGCCGTGATTAGTATTCACATGGTTAAATAATCAAATATTGTGATTCATATTCCTGAAGTTAAATAATCACATGGCAATTGGTTTTCACTTGATTTAAAAATCCAATTGTGTGGTTTATATTCATTCATTTTTAAAATCCAATATCGTGATTTTTATTCACATGATTTTAATATTAAACATTAATTTATGAGATTTAAACTGTACGTATTGCAATATGTATTTGCGTAATTTAAAAATTAGATATCATAATTCAAACATCAGACAGCAAGATTCAAATTCACATGTCTTTAAAATTAAATACTGCGATTTTAAAATCAAACGTTACGATTTGTGTTCACCTGATTTCAGGCGAAACATTTGAACTTTTCAGATTCCACTTAGAAATTATTGCAAATAAGTGTATATTAAAAATAAATCTTTCATTCTTTATTTATAATTTTTTTATATTTAAATACTGTAAAATTAAATATTCTTTATTATAAAGTATTTATTTTCGCTTTTAATTATGCAATAGTAATTTAAAAAATAAGCGTAAAAGGTAAGTTATTTAAAATATGATGTATTTATTTTAACCCTCCTGGCGACAGACCTGAAATAACTCGGACATGATTTCTACACGTAAAGCGGCAAGCCCGAAATAACTCAGGTGGCCTGTCTACCTCTGTAGCGGTGGACCCTAGTTTTTGGCTGGTATTTTTTTTCCTTCCCCTACGACTGCCTACTGGGTACTAATTGAGGGGTGGTTATAGCTGTCATCATAAATCACCATAACAGAAGAATTGCAAGTTTATTTAAGAGTTCATAGTATGTTGGCAGTTTAATTGTACTGATAGTAAACGTTTGTGGTGAAGGGAAAAAAATTAATTTTATGTTTTCTCTTGCTAATACTAAGTCAAACATTTTGTTGTTATTTTATTTCTATTTTTCTTTTAATTTAATAAGTTTTTTTGAGATGAAATTAGAAAAATAGAAATAAATAAAATATAATATCTAAAATGACTTTTAAATTTTTTTATTGAAAACTCGCATATTTTAATAAGTTTTAAAATATCTCTATTAATGATATTCTGCTGTTTCATTATAAGTACTCTAAATTAGATATTTTGAAAATATTCTTTAGCTGAATTTTATTTTGCGAACTTACGTAGAAGAGAATTTAACTTAGTTTAGATTTTGACTTATTTTATTTCTTTCTAACTGCCAGGAAATACCTTATTATTTTGTCATTAAAGTTTACCAATTTTAAAATGTTAAAATTTTGCTTTGCAAACATTCTTTTAATCATATTTGTTTTTTTGTTGTTTTTTTTCATATTATTCTAAAAAATGCTAAAACAAAGTCTTATTCTGTTGTTGTTTTTGTCATGTTTTATGCATTTCCCTTGAATTATCGCATCTGAAATTTGTATAGAAATAAAATGTAAAAAATTTTGAACGGAATACAAAAGACAACTATTGAATTTTTAAAAAATAACTTGCACATTCAGAAACTTTTTTGCTAAAAGAAAAATCGTCCAACTACAAAGAAACAAATGAGATTAAATATCTGTTTAAATTAAAGTTATTAAGTTTACATAAAAACCATATACAGTGAAACCTCCGTTAAGCAGACAGTCATGGGACTAAAAAATTTGTCCGTTTATGAGAGTTGTCCGTTTACGGGAGGGTACCCTAATAACGAAATTTAACGCCGTAAATTGTTTTTAGAATATTCTCAAAGATGTAGAAATAATTAAATAATATCTACAAGGATACTGTAAATATCTACAACAGTGGTGCAAGCGCTGCGCCAATTGTGGAAGCCTGCGCCAACCTGCTCCAAATTGAAAGAATTGACTTAAATTGCGCCACGCTGCGCCAAAAAGGATATTTTCCCCTGGATATCGCCAAGTCACAATTTTATGGCAACCAAGCTTATGCCATGTGGGGTGTTGCTACAGTAACGAGCACGTGCATATTTTACTGTGAGCTGAGTGTTCTTGTTCTTTATTATTTAGTTAGTATCATTCCATTCTTTTTGGTTCTAAGCTGATGGAAAAAGAATTAGAAAAATGACTTCAAAAAGTAAGTACCTGTCATTCAATATTTCTTTTAGATTTGTGATAAAAAAAAAATTTATAATTTTTTTTTTTAATGCGATTAATGAACGAATTTTTATCTTTATTAAAAACATACCAGGGTGTGTTGCGTTTTTCAAAAGCGCTTTTTTTCGTTTTTTAAATGTTCTTAAAGGTGCTTTTTTTTCATTAGGTGGTTTTTAAAAAGTACTTAATTTTTCCTTTTCCAAAATAATATATATTTTCTTTACCATATCGATTTCCGCCATTTTTCTCTATTCATGCAACCTACATCCATTTTCTTATCTTTGGCACCTAGCGTATGAAAGCGGATCATATTACATTTTTGATGAATTAATTGTGGGTTTGCCTGTGCATCATACATACTGAGCTGGATTCAGTGGGAAGGATTTTTGAATTCTCATGTGCAACTCTGCTTTGTTTTGCAACATATTCTCAATTTCAGGCTTTTTTTCCCCCACTCTCTGAAATGCAACCGAAACTTCTCTTGACTTTTCGGGGACCAACTAAACATTGCCGAATTTTAATAGCAAAAGAAAATTTTATTTCTCTTGTTAATTTCCTGGTTATTGAGGTGCCATCGTCTTCGTCAATGACAATCTAATGGCCTTCTTGCGCTATTCTATTTATAGATTAGTACCATGATCTTTGAATTTAACTTGGGGACTATTCACTAAGTACATATTTTCTTGTTGATTTTCAGAGCAGGCAAGAATCACAAAGCTTCATGACTTTTATTCATTTAATTTAATAAAGATATGAATTAATAAACTTCTTAAACGTAAAGAACGTACATTTTTATCCAAGGGACCATCCACTAATTGCATATTTTTTTAAACATTTATTTTTTATTATATTTTTTTACTAATATTTTTTTTACTTATTGCATTTTATTATTGTATTATTATTTTCAAAATTTTTAATGCTCTTAATTTGTTTCAGGAAAAAACTTAAAAACATATTGAGGCAATATTTTAAATGCAGCAAAAATTCTAATGTAATTCAGATTTGTCATTCAAAAGTACTTTAATTCATCTCTTAATGATTNGGATAAATCGGTATTACGATGTTGGAGTTAAATCGATATATTGTCTTACATCGGTATAAAGCCCAGTCCTAGTAGTGACAGTATAATAATTTACTTCTGACAAAAATTTTTTAGCTTCAATACTCATTCCATTGTATTTCCATTTAAAAATTATTTAGTTTTTTAAATCAATACATTAACAAAATACTGTAAGTAAAAAAAAATATTGTTTTTAAATATTAGGGGCCATTCACTAATTTACATTTGTAATATAAATATATTAATTAATTGTATTTTAAAATCATAGTGTAGGTTGTGGCGCCAATCATCAACGTTACTTTTGATTTCAAATAATTATGTTTTTCTATGAAAAGAAAGTCTTAAAAAAAGAACAAAATACAAAACATTGTCAACAATTTCAGTAACATAAAATTTAAGTGTTAAGATATGTTTAATAATTTCATTAACTATCCCAGCCACTGAATGCTTTAAGGTATTAAAAGGGATTAATATTTTGCAAACTTGTTTCAAAAGATAATTTTACCTTCCAAGCAGTCTTTATTTATTTATTTTTTTTTCAAATATAGTTGAATTTTGTATTATATTAAGTGCTATGTTGGTAGCTGTTATATTAAGTTAGTTATTTGATAACTTAACATATCTGATTTTTTTTTAAAATTTCAATTTAATCTAAAAAAAATATAATGCAAGTTTTCATTTAAAATCTTAAAACTAAGCTTTAAATGTATTGCATATAGCTTAATATTCATAGTTTCATTAAAAGTTATATAATTTAAGTGATTTGCATAATTCAAATACTTTCATTACATGATGATGGAACAATTATAGCTATATTGGGAAAATTGACTATATTGTACAATATTATAAATCTCCATTGTACAATTATTATAAAAAAATAATGTATTTTTATTAATGTCTAATTTATTTTTTTAGATGGTGGACGATGTAGTAAATTTAATGAAGATGTACCGTATATTCCGGCGTATTACGCGCACTTTTAATACAAAAATTAACATTGGAATTTACGGGTGCGCGGTATACGCCGAATATAAAAAATTATAGATTAAAAAAAATTCAATATAGAATAACACTTTTATTTTAAAGAAATATCATACCTTTACCTATATACTTCATTGATTTTCGTTATTACATAAATAGTTCATTATATTCGTCTTCCGTTATTTCTTCAGGCACGTCATCACAATCTGTTTCGTCTTCATCATCTGCGTTACCCTCATCCATAAATAAACAGTCATCTTCTGATCCGTCCAAATTATTTGAAATGGTGCATTTTTTGAATGATTTTCTAACCATCTCAGGCTTAATTTCATCCCATACTTTTAATATCCATTCGCACACTGTTTCCAAACTGCATACGTCCTCCTTTCGCAAAGGTTTTCTCGCCCTCCAACATCCATGTGTTCCACTGTTTTTTTAAATTGGCTTTAAATGGTTTGTTTAAGCAGACGTCCAATGGCTGAACTAATGGTGTCAATCCGCCCGGAATAACTGCCATATCGGTGTTACATTCCTTCAACAATTTTTTTGTATTATCTGTAAGGTGGGACCTAAACATGTCCCACAATAAAAGGCTTTCTGGTTTTCTATTGATACTAGACGAGATATTGCACATGTACAATCCAAATATTCGTGCGCATTATACGAAGAGTATATCTTAAAATTTAAAAAAAGTTATTAGAAATTACGGGTGCGCGTTATGCGCCGGAATATACGGTATTAAAGGAGTGTGACCTAAATGGAGATCTAATATCAGTTTGGTGTATTAAAGGCTCCAA